TTTCTGTATAGCATTTATCATAGCATATATGCGTGTGTGTGTGTGTGTATACATATATATATATTTTAAATTGACTGCACACTTCCTCCCTCAATAGATAACCCTAATGGCAGATCTTGTCCTGTTGCTCTCCCCTCAGAGGCAGGAACAGTGCCTTGGAAATATGAGTGTTTGATAAATACCTCATGAGTAAATTTTTTTAAAGGTATAATCTTTCTTTTATTTTTTCCCCCCAGATTTTTAGTTATATTAATTCTAAAGAACACATTTCAGTTCAGCTTTTTTTTCTTTTCACTCTCACCAAACTTAATTGTTAGGTCATTTGTTTATCACCATCCTTTTAACTCCTGGGGCCAGTTGTTAGCAAGTCACTTAGACACAGTTAAACAATAACTAGTATACATAAAAAGCAATATCCCAAAATAAAACACATAAAAAGTCTACTGTGAAAATTAATCTAACAGCATCTCCCATTTCTCTTTTTTAAGTAGCTACCACTTAATGGCTTTTGATACACAGCTGCACATAATTATAAGAATATAAGATTGAATAGAAAACACAAACTAAATTATATTTTGCTTAAGTGGATACTGAAGTAATTTCAACCCTCTGAGGTTACCCGACTACACCTGAACTGCAAAATTGGAAAAACACCTGAGTATGTGTATAAATCTTGAAACTAGCTCCTTACTATAATCATTTTTTTAAATACCCCATGTAGGCAGAACATATTGTCACTTGTAAAATCCCTTTGTAGATAATATCCAACCTGATCTTCACAAACACCTGTGATACAGCAAGGCAGGTGTCACTGCCCTTATTTAAAGATAAGGAGACGGAACCAGAGAAGCTAAGTGACTTGATCAAGGTCACATGCAGAGCGCCTGTTCATATATTTGAAAATAATTTTCAGAAACATAAGAAGAAAGAGCTCGGGAAGTGTGTTACCATACAATTCTAGAAAGAAATCTGACCAGGTAATGAGATTGTGTCTACTAGCCACACATGAAAATCAATTCCATTGCCCAGAGAAGGACAATAAATACTGATCTTGCCATTTTAATGCAAGAAGCAAAACCCATTTTTATGGGTGTCACCAAAACACGATAGGACAGGTCTCACTGCTACAACACAGAAATGGAAATGGAGAGCTTGTCCAAAAGAAACAGATTTAATAGAAGAAATGAGAGAACAATGTGTCATGAATGCAGTACTCCACTGCAGAGAATTCTATGAGCCCGTAATATAAAACTGGTTCTCGGATTTTCAATTCACTGGGTAAGTAATATTTGTAACACATCTAGGGCAATCAGGTTGCTAACATCCAATTATTTTGATTGAAAATGTTAGAAGATTTTTAAAAAATGGCAGTTAACTTTTACTGACCATTTGCTATATGTCAGGTTCTGTTCTAGGCACCTTATACACATTGGCTCATTAAGGCTTCATGGCCACACCAGGAGATATATATTTTTATCATCAGCCCTGTTTTATAGATAAAGCAACAGAAGCCAAGAGAAGGTCAGCTATACATGGTCCCATGTATAGCTCCGGGCAGAGCCGGAATTCAATCCCTGGCAGCAGAGCCCCAGAGCCCGTGTTCTCAATTGCTGACTCGGGTTCTAGTACCCTCCAGCACCATCATTGCATAAAAATGATACTCTAACACAAAAAAAGCAGGCAGGGTATCTCAAAATAAGAGTCATTTCTTCAAATTTAATCTATTTAGCAGTATTAAAAACTCACTATACCCCCTCCTTTTGCTCAGGCTTCTGTAAATGTCATCATAGACCTCCGTCCATGGGTCTGCAGAGCAGGACTGGAGAAGCACGTGAATGGAGTTTCCGGACAAGGATAAAATAAAAGTGAAAGTCAAAGACTTTAAGGGTAGAAACACACAATGGATCATCTCTTTAGAAAGGGAACAACACATGAATCACAGAATCTTCATGTCGAAGATGTCTGCAGGGTCAACCAGTTCAATCCTTTTCTGAATACAGAAATCACCTTCTACAATGTCAGGTTCTGCTTGAATGGGTCAGCCATTGGAAACTCACTACTCATGATTCGGTTCTTGTCAAATTTGTGCAGACCCTCTGTTCTTCTCCATCACCTTTCTAAATTCTTTCCATCACTCCTCATTGGTGGAGCAAGGTTCCAGAACCTTTCCTAACCTGGGTGCTATCCCTAGAGCATAGTCCGTTTTGTGCTCTCTTTCATAAAATGCAGGGAGCAGAAATAGGTGTGATAGTTATAGGGAGGCTAATTAGCACTGGTACAATAAGACTATTACCTCCAACATGGGTGTTTGGCTTTTTTTCTGCAACCTAAGATTATAGTAAGCTGTGTGTGTGTGTGTGTGTGTGTGTATGTGGTGGGGGGATGGTAGTAAGGAAATAATAGTACAGAGTGATATGGATCATACTGTAGATTCATATGCATTTAAGCCAAATTCTCAATCTCTTTTATATATGCTGCTGCTAAATTTTATTACTCTAATTCCACAGTAGTACTGTTGGGTTTTAAACCATACAGGATAAATGTGCAATTATTCCTACTACCTATCACCCTATTAGAGTCATCCACTGTTCAAGCCTGGCCAAGGACAATTTCTATCTACTCTGCATACTGCTCAGAGGCCCTCCCAGCTTATAGGCTCCATGACTTGCTCTCTGTGAGCCCCAAATTTTTTAGTCTCTAGTCTGCCACACCTGTGTCCTTCCTTGTACCTCAGTCCTGCCTTCCACTATGTCCCACTGCTCACTGGCCATGGCCACCAGTCTTACCTTCACATTTTTTTAAAAGCCTCAGGGTGAAACTATTTTTTTCATACAGTAAAGAGAAATTTGACTTCACTTTCCTCACCCACCTCAATGTCTCCCCCCTCTTATTTCTAGCTCTGACTCTCCGACCTAACATACCCCTGTTTCCTAAGATTGACTATTTCAACCATGTTCAAGGAACGTGCAGGACACTCCAGGAGTCGTGTCAACCTCGGGTTGCTGAAACTGAAAAAGCATGCTTTGTCATTAGGCTTCCTTGCTTACACGAGGTTGAATACTTTTGAAGACATAGTGTTGGCATGCAAATATCAATTCAAAATTGGTTTTAATTTCTTTAAAAGGACTGACAATCTGTAATGAAAGGTATGGTGTCTCTTTGAGAGTTATATATGTACACATCAGGCAGCAATAAAAAAAAATCCAAGCATTATATTCAGGGGAAATGTATATAACAGTTGTGTCAGTAGCTCAAATGTACAGGCAGAAAATCAAGAGACAAGACAAAATCTGTAAGGGAGAACAGGACTGGAAACATTAAGTAGGCAGGGTTGTTAGTGACAAGAATGAAACAGATGGCTCCTCTCTCCAGTCTAAACAATGGAATTCTAAGCCTTTTTTGGACAGAACGGGAGACTATATATTGCCATGCCCAAAATAGGATTCCTTAAAATCACATTGAAGTGAAATCGCACTGAATGTACTGCTCACAGAGCATGCCTGGAGGACAGAAGGTCCCGTGGGCTCCCGTGTCCCCCCCGTAATAAGGGGGTGTCTGTATCTGCCCAGGAGCCTTCACAAGGCAGTTATCAAATCAATAACAGGTTTGGAAACAAGGCCTCTACTGTGAAATGATATATCTGGTGTTATACATCGCTACTGTTTGCCCTGCAACAGATGATAGGATCATATATACAAGAAATATAAGAAATTATTTCACAAAAAAGGGCAGTTTTATTCAACTAAAAAGAGAGAGGAGATGGCCGTCGTTTGGAGACATGAGGAAGAGAAAGCATTTTCAAACTCCTTTCTCCTTGGACCTGCCAGCCCGGGCTGTGTGAAGGGCCAGTCCAGAGCTGCAATTTATTCCAGAGACCCCACAGCTGGTGGTAGATCTGGGAAAGAGACGCAGGGTTGGCTAGAACCAGCCCATCATGCATCCCCAGAAGGTGGCTGTCCCCTTTTCTAATGAAATTCAACAACAACAACAACAACACAAGAACAGAATTCGCCTATAAGTTTGAACTTGTGGAAGCAGTATACTTCATATTATAAAGAAAAAGTGGAACATCTACAAGCTGTTCAGGTTTCATCATTTCTCCTACCAGCCAGGGGCAGACTGTGCTCTGAGAACTCTCAAAACCTAAAAAAAGAAATGACACATACGGCTGTGTCTACTTACGTAAAGCTATCTGAAGAATCAATTAATTCCCTAAAAATTTACTGAATTGCCTCACCTCAGCCCACCATCCAATACAGGGATTCTTCATGTAACTGAGGAAAGAACGCTTCAGTGTCCCAATATATTATCTCTCTACTTCCCTAGCCAAAAGTAGCCATACAAAAACAGCACTATTACCTCTCATGGGAGCTTGCTTCAGGTTTTGATTTTTATAAGATGCTACATTTCTCCCTCCATCAACCCTACTTTATTTAAGCTGTGGACCAGGTTCAGCACAGTCAATTAGGACTTTATAATCTCAACTTGAAGACTGCATGCAGCCCACAAATCACCCTGGCTTATTTTACAAATGGGCCCTGTGTCTTTGGCAAGCAGCCCTTCCATTAAATACCCATCAATAAAAACAGCTTTAAAGCTATCTCTAAGATGGAATCTATTATTCCAAAGCCCCTCCAGGCTAAAAGCACATTAATGGTGAACATAAAACAAGGGGACCAGGGTGAGAGGATGTGACCTATGCACAGACATCATGAAAGGAGACAGTTTCTGTCAACTGTAGGGGGAACTCCTATATGAACTAGATGATACTCACAGGAAAGTGTAAATAAAAATAAGAAAAAAGGAGGTGGAGGTCTCCCAAAGATACCAAGCCTGGAGGTCCCAAAGTCCACAGGCTGTCAGGCTACCGTTCAGAGGTGAAGGGAATATCCGTTCCCACAGAGGGCTGGGGGAAGCAAATGAACCACCCGATAAACACGATGCTGCAGGTCAATGCCCAGAAAGATGCTAAGGACTCGTCCCAGGTGCCCCTCACTCACCGGCACACTTTGTCCTGGTTCTGAGGGCTGGCCCAGGAGACCCAGTGCCACCTTCCCCCGGCCTGGTGAGCAGCACGCTGATCTCATACTCCGTATCCGGGTCGAGGTGCCCAATTTTGTAACTCGTGGAGTCCACTGGCTGTCGGTCATTCCAGCTCCCACTTGCTGTGCAGTACTCCACCTCTCGGGCGACAATGGGCCCATCCCCATTGATGGAGTTGGCGTTGAGTTGAATCCAAAGGTAGGTTGCCCCCACGGAGGCAAGCTGAGGTGGAGCAATGGGAACGGGGGGCTCTGGAAGGCAAGTCAAAGAGCCATCTTTCAGACACCTTGCTCTTCCGTTTTAAACCAGCTAAATGTACATCAATTATTAAAATATAGAAGCCGTGAACATGTCAGGAATGAAGGGATGGGAATGGTTCTATTTAGGTTATTACGAAAAAGCATACTGGTAAAGCCTTTCACAATGTTCAAATCTGTGAAATAAACCAACTTTAAAACCTAAGCTTGATCAAGTAGGGATACCCTCAGTTTGTTTTAGGACACAACTCATTTTTCTCAGGCTCAAAGGATTTTTTCCCCCCACTAAAAGTAACTTGCTGAAGCTCTCTTGATGGTAGTACTTAAGCTCCAGGAGGCACTCTATTGCCAACTTCCTTATTGAGAATGTCTTCGAAATCATCAAAGGTGCTAGTTACCTATCTCATTAAATTCAGTTTCCTTATATTTATTATTCCACAGATATCATCAATTTTAAAATATGGCCAAAATTATAGTTTCTCTCAGCATAAATGCACTTCCAGGATGACTTGTTGCCCAAAAAACCCATCACAGTGGACTCATTTGGCCGCAGGAGAAGTGAGACGTCTGGATAACATAGCCCACCACAGCTGCTGTTCAAGGAGCCTCCCGGAATGAATCTCATGAAAGCAGCGGGTAGAAAGGAAACTCTAATGCAAAGTGCAAGCCATGCCCAGCTTGGTAAAATTCTAAGCAATCAATAGCAAATACTCTTTAAACCCAAGAAAGTCTCTTTCATTGTTTAAAACCTGAGATGGTCTCTTTCTACATCATTGTCTGAGAATGGAGAAATAGGCAATCTTGTTTTAAATAGTATTCCCAGTCTGTCAGTGAGGTGTTGGTTGAATGGCTTGCCGGGCACCAAGTGAAGGCATCCTATATTGCCCAGTGTTACTGTACATCATACTGGGAAAGGAGATAACTGTATAAAATAGCATATTTCTATCTTCATGGATCTCTATCAGAGAAAAAAAAGTAAGATCTAGTGATTTTCTTTTTTTTTTTAGTTTCAGAGGTAGACTTTAGTGACTCATCTGTTGCATATAGAACCCAGTGCTCATTCCATCAAGTGCCCTCCTTAGTGCTCATCATCCAGTTACCCCCCCCACCTCCCCTCCTGCAACCCCGTTTGTTCCCTAGAGTTCAGCATCCCTTATGGTTTGGCTCCCTCTCTTATTTTTTTTTTTTCAAGCATGTTTCCACAGGTGGTTTGTGTCTCTTTGGGCTGTGTGTATGTGTTTCAACTCCTCAGTTAGCACATCTGAATGCACAAAAAATAGAGCCTGCTATGTTCCATTTGCTGGTATATGCTGGCTTGCATGCTGCAAATTCTGTCAGCTCCACAGCAGACACAGCCAACTAATCACGGTCCTGTTTCCTGCTGAAAGGGATCTCACTGCAGCTAAGACCATCTGACCTTGGCCCTTGACATGATACCTCGTGGGTCCCTAGACTAAGATACCAATAACAGTAGTTCTCCTCGTTGGGTAGGGGGGTCTTTGTTCTTTTTCTGTATTCAGGGTACAGTGCATCTTACTGATTTTCAAAAATAGCTGGGAAATCTCATTAGACTGAGTCAAAATAGACACTAAAGGATGAATTGTATTTGAAAGACTACAAAATTCATGTAGACTTACTAAAAATAATGCTCCTATTGTTTGTAAACTACAACTTTGTGCTAGCTCCTCATTTCTTTAAACAGTTCTTACTCAACTCATCATGACTTAACATCAATTTATATCATTAGGTGATTCCTTGAACCGAGACATGAAATGGGCCTTTTATAGTATATCCCAAGGCAGTTATGTAGCCAGGCTGAAAGGGCAGTTAATTACTCTGAAGTTGCAAATTCTAGCAAGGGTTGCTGAACTGCCATTCAAAATACAACTCAGGGGCAAGGCCATGAAGGTTAGTGAGCACACCAATTCATTTAGGATATTGTTACTAGTATCCTAAAATAGACATGACTTTAATGCTTGCTTGACCTGAGAATATTTTCTCCATTAATTCCCCATGAAGAAAAGTATCAAATATGTGAACCTGGAACAATTGTACTAGACATTCCAAGGGACTTTTGGGTTGCTGGAAGAATCTGTACAAGAGTAAGTCAATATTTAAATTTTGAATAATTTTTCCCAAAGTGAAGGAAGGAAGAAAGGAAGAAAGGAATTCCACCTATACTAAGTGACAGATGGCAATTTAAAATATATGATTCAAGCCCACTTATACCTGGACTTTTTGCAGTACTGTAAATGTATTTTCTCTTCCTCATGATTTTCTTAATAACTCTTTTCTTTAGGTTACTGCAAGAATACAGTATATAATATGTATATAAAATTTGTGTTAATCGATGGCTTATTTTATCGGTAAGGGTTCTGGTCAACAATAGGTTATTAGTTAAGTTTCTGGGGAGCCAAAAGTATGTGGATTTTCAACCATGCAGGGGTTGGTGCCTCTAACTCTTGTGCTGTTCAAGGGTCAACTGTATTTCTAAACCAAGCCAGCAATGAAAGAATTTATACACATACAGATATGTAAACATATATCTAATGATAAACACATGTGAATGCCTAATACATATCTCATATAATTAAATGATATTGATATACATGCATATATATACAAATTATGGAGATTCCATGAAATATTTTTTATGTCCCAGATTATCAAAAGCAGTGGGAGACATGAAAAAGATAGGAATGACAGTTAATAAATGACGTGGGTTTCATTTGGAGGGCTGGCACCAAATCAGTATGTGACCTTAAGAGAATTACAAACTCTATAGACTTTAGTTTTTCCCATTTTCCGAAGATCAACACTTCAAATACTACATGCATAAAAAAAAAAGAGTTAAATTATATACAAGTGGCCTCAAAAGTGTCACTGCATATTTTAAAGTAATTATCTCAAGGTAATACTTAATATTAAGTATAACTTGCTAGTAGAATTCAGCATGTTATCTCATTTTTAAATATAAAATATATGAAAAATATGGCTATAAAATTATAAATGGAGGAAAAGTCAAATTTCAGATTTCAGCCGCAACTGTAAGCTGGCTGTCCTGGGTTTGGTCATGTGCAGAGATGAAAAGAGATGCCTGGACATTTTTATCACAATGAGCCAAGCAACCACTATGCCATCCTAAGACAGGAAAATGTGCTGCATAAATGTGAATAATAACCCATTCATTCTTTGTGCTCACGTTTGCTCTGGAAGACTAGAAATTTATGATTTACTTATACCACCCAGCAAATGAAGTTTTTCACAGGGGCCATTTTTAGCAAGGTTACGAGATTTACATTATACTGATAATGAAGCATGATGCCTTAAGAACAGGGCTGGTCACAGTGAAATGCTGTAGCAACTATCAATCAGAAAATGGGATACAATCACAAGAACTGAGCCAAGAGGAACATTAAGTACTAATAATGATAATAAAGAACTCAGCCATGGAACACTGAGGCTGCTACTTTACTGGATTTGTTGGCAAACAGTGTCCATTTTCTACACGGTGACTCCTCGCTTCTCAGAGAACCTTCTGCAGAGTAGGGTGTGCATTACTATGAAGAGTTAGTTTTCTTATGACTATTAAACCTAAATTCCTAAACTCAAGTCCTAGTCAGACCAGCTAAAGTTTCACCACAAACCAAAATTCCTAAGAATATGCTGTGGCAAAATTTATTAGCGGGGTACATATTTCAATGTGCACAATGTCAGTCATTGCTGCAAATTAATACTGCATGGGGCAGGCTCACCAACAAACATTTCTCTCATAAGCCAGGAGTCATAAGCCAGGAGTGACTAATATTGGCAGCAGGGATTTCACAACAGAAGCATATGCCAAAATCACCTACAGATTTTATAACAGAGGCCATGTCCCCAGAGATTTTCATTTAATACGGGTGTGGTGGGGGGAGGGAAGAATAGCTGGGCAGGCATTTATGTTTTAAAATTTGGAAAGAGGGCAGTGACAAGCGTTTCTAAATGAAGCTCACTGATGTACAGGAGCAGAGGGTTACAATCACCTCGCTCCCCCCCACCTCCGCCCCATCATGGCCCTAACAGGAGCTGGCTGCTTACTATGTATACTGTTCTAAGTGCCTTTCTTTTTTTTTTTTTTTTTCTAAGTGCCTTTCATATACTTTTTGCACTTGACCTTCTTGATCACCCTATGGTGTAGGTGACATTATTAATGTCTACATTATACTTTATACCCTGGCCCATGCCCACATAGCTAGTTCTGGGGTTTGAACCCCACGGTCTTTAAAACTGCGTGCACAGAGAAATTTGTTGATACGAGGAAGAAACTGTCCAAAAGATATCAGCTTTATGTTTTATATTTAACAAATGCAGGGGAAAAAAAATTCATCAACAGGCATCATTCTGTTCTCCTAGGACAAAACAGCAATGGCCTGCCACAAATTACCTAAAAATGCCTCACTTTACATCTAGAAGTCCAAATTATTCTGTCTGGGACCAAGAATTGCCCTAGCAGTTTAATATCATAAACTCCTCAGCCCACAAAAAAAGCATTAGACCAGCAATGGAAACTTATTTTCCCTTTTTTTTTTCCCTCATACCCCACCTCCCTGAATATAATGACTCAATTTTTCAGTCATGCAAAATATAGTAATGGAACCTAACTGCGACATTATGAGTGTTAACTCAGTATTATCAATATGGCTTGTGTGATATGACTGAGCATTTTTATACTGGCATTGCTTCATTTTATTAACCACCCTGCTATCATAAACATGCTGGCTGGTGAATATTTGCATTTTAAGTGATTTTCTATCAGTAAAAAAAAAAAATGCATTCCTTAAAAAAATTTATAGGTTGTAATCTCTGTATACAGAGTTGGCAGAAGAACTTGCTAAGAGCACATTCAGTGCTTTTGTATGCAACTAAACCAACATAAATAAAATACATTTTTCAAAAATATTGCTCACGTGCAAAATTTGTACTTAAAATGCAATCCATCAATGTAGCCTGTCACCAAGCTCCTTTTCGGAGACAGACAAGGATAAGTTTGAGAGTTAAACAAATAATGAACTCACAACCATCTGACATGTCTATTTTAATAGATTATTGAGGGGTATAAAAATGCATTAAATACCTTTAACTACCAATTCTGCATAGTTTGATATTCCAACACCTCCTTCGGTGCGAATCATGCAGCGGTACTTCCCAGCATCTCGTTTTGTTGTGTTCATGACATTAAAGGAAGCTATGAATCGCCGGGAACTAGTCACCTTTATTTCCTTGAGAGGAGCATCGCGCACATCAATGCCCTGTATAAATGGGGGTGGGGGACAAAAAGAGACAATATCAGCTGTCATACTGGACCGGTAAGACACCTGATGGCTATTATCCATGTTTTTTCCATGTGGATCTGGGTTCTGTTGTTTATTACCCAGGGGCTCTAGTTCTAGGGGAACAGCTGGCCAGGAAACTTAAATTCTGCCATGATCAACACTTTCAAGATTGAGGGATGCAAAATTATGTGTGCAGAAATGTCTTGCTTTTGTCCTTTAAGATATTAATTATGTTAAGTGAGCTCACCGGGAGTAGAAAAATGCATATGGAAAAATTCTTTATTTGATTCCCAAACGATCACCATTTGGTATTTTCATACCACTTTGTCTTATGTTTTTATGCTTGGCTAGGAAACAAAACTGATTCATACACTACCCTACTGCCAACCTCATTTTATCTATGAACAAATAAATAATTTATTAAGAATTACATTAAAGACATAAGTAGGTATTAACATATTCCTTACCGAATAGGTCTGATGGACTATTCTAAGCTTTACGATGTTCTTCCAGGATACAAAAACCAAGTAGATGCTCAATTATTACTTAAGTGTGAAATGCTACAAGAGAAGTTTCTCCCCATCCCAGAGTTTCAAAACCACATAAAACAGGTTCCCTCCGTGTAGCACCTTTGTCTTACACCATCCTTAACACATGAAGTACGTCTTTAGTTATGTGGCCTTAGAACTCCATTCTATGTTTCCTATAATTTAGAGTCTCATAAGAAGGCTACAGATTTTAGTTCTTAATAGCTGTTTACAATTCCCAGGAAAGAGGCTATCTTTAATATGTCATTTGCAAGCATTGAGTAGAAAACAATGGGCACAGACCTTACAGCTAACGCATGATGCCAAGCACTCTGTCCATTTGTTCACTCAGAATCCATTCTGCCAACCAGGTGCTATCAACTGTGTTAAGACACTAGGCTCACAGTGGGGAATGACAGAAGAGTAGTTATGGTGCGCACGGCACTTTAGTTAGTGGGAAGTATAGGCCGGAAATACAGAATTACAAGTGATGGCCAGTGTGGTGAAGGGACAGATCAGATGGCTCGCAGAAATCACCATCTTTAGATATGGTGGCTGTGGGAGGCCAGTTTGAGGAAGTGAGCTGAGATCTGAAAGGCAAGGAGGAGCTAACCAGGCAAAGGGAGAGGGTGTGAGAGAAGGGGCATTCTGTCTAGTCAGAGGAAACGGGGCAGGAAGCCCGAGATGGTTAGAGAGAACAGAAAGCTTTGGATGAAATGAAGGCAGCTCATGGAACCAGGGAGGTAAGGAAGCACCTACGCATTCCGGGACTTGCAGGCAATATTAAAGTGTTTTTATGTATGAGTATGAAAATGCTAAGCTACACATAATAAAACTCATCTATATTACTCGGTGATTTATATTATGCAAAGTCGTTTAAAAGCTTTTATCCGTGATTTTTTTTCTTTGGCAGTATGCCCTAACGGGCATAGGTTTGGAGTTAAACTGACCAGGGTGCCAAAGCTAACTTCAAAGTGATTTACCTTCCTAGAGCCTCCCTTCCCTCATCTACAACAAGATGATATGACTCACTTGCAGGGCAGTTGTGAGAATTTAAAGATATATACAAAGACACTGGCTTACTGACTGGCACCACACATCCCCACCCAAATTCCGGACCAGCTGAGTGATGAAGTCAAGGAGAAAGGCGGACAGGCTGTCAACGTACCACTTTTATTACCTGTGAACCTGGTATTACAGAATATGGCTGAGATGCAGTAACAATGGGCTTGCTAATACTGAAGCACAGAATTAAAGACTCACCCACCCGGCCACTGGCCATCTTAGAAAAGCACAAAGGCCTCCCACATGTTGGGTGCTGCTGTAAAACTCACAGGATGGAAGAAGAGGGCTCCTACAGGGGGTTAGCTCCCAAAGAAGGGGCTGGGCTGTGCATGCTCCCAGCTTCCTTCCCAGGCAGCTCCCTTCCCAGGCAGCTCCCGCTTGGGCAGAGAAAAAGCATCAGAGTGCTGCACTGGTACAGTTCCTGCCACAGGGAAGGAAACATCAGGAGTGGGGAAGAAGAGTTCCACCAACATCACCTTCAGTGTTATCTGTCACAGCAGCTTTGTTAATAGCTTAAGAAGTTATAAATCAGAGCATGAAGTTCCATAGATAACTTACATGTCTTATGTCTGTCCTGGTTTTTACTAAATCCCCCAAATTTGGTCTGACAGAGCACACCAAGGACTTAGGAAAGTGAAATAAAATAGAATCAGTCTGGCATCATTAATTAATTCAATGGGGGACAGCATTCCTCTCTGTAGTCCACACATTTAGTCTCCCATCCTTTCTCGCAAATAAACAATCAATCCAATTCTACCTCTAGGAGTAACCTCAGATCTACTAACGCTATAAAGTGCAGTCTGTCTTTTTCCAAACTAAAAACAAAACAAATCTAATCTCCAAGTTTGAAAAAAAATTAAGCCCTAAAGAAAGGCAGATTTCATATCTGTAAGTATTTGTTTTATTAATAACAGCAACAAAAAAAGGCTACCTACTTATTTATTTACTCACTTGTGGCATGAATCCGGTAAGAATATGCTTCTATAGTAATCCCATAGTATCTTACCTGCTAGAGTACGCCTACTTCAAAAGAATGTTCATTCAAAAGAATTTGGAAGTATGCAGTTATTGATCACTCAAAACTATTCAAGGCTGCAGCGAGGGCTCTCAAGTTTGAGAAAACCTCTGTTTTGGATTTATACATATGTTGAGAGGAGTATTACTTCATAGTTGATGTCTCCATGCCACAGATTTATTCTTTAAAATAAACAGCTTCAAGCTAACAACTCTACAGGACTCCAGTACATCAACTCTCAGGGCTGGGGCTTTCTTTTTGAATCCCATGTACTGAGTCACACAGAAAGTTAGATTCAGTTTCTTCAAGAAAAGTAGTGCATATGAAAGAGAAACCAAGTGCTAATGAATGATCATTTTAGCTTAGGACCCATACCAAATCATAGATCTTGAATGTTCAAGTCTGCAGGTCATTTTTGTGTTAAATCATTCAAAGGTACGTGGATCCAAGCATTCATTTAATGAACACTTTGTAAAAATCTCTTATGAGGCAAACACTGTATCATATACAGGGAGAATGGAGTTAAAAGAACAATCCCTTACCTACCTGAACTTAAAGTCTGGTGAGGAAAAACAGCCAAGTAAGGCAGTGATTATAGTACAAAGCAATAAACTGCATAAAACAGCAAGCCCAGGAAAAGGGGACCACACTGGAGAAGGGTGTGAGGGTTGGGCTGGCTTTCTAGAAAGCACTACTTGAGGCCAGGCTGGAGGATGCACAGGAGTTTCTCAGAGGGAAGGAGGAGAAATGGAGCCCAGTGAGTGAGAAGAGCTTTGCAAAAGTCAAGAGCCAAGACAGCATGGAACAATAAAGGAAATACAACTGATTCCATGCAGCTAGAACGAAGCGCGTCTGGATAGGCAGGTGATGAGGCTAGAAGGATAATCACAATATGGCATATTGAGGATTATAGTTTATCTTGATGCCAGGAATGGACAGATTTTAGGTAAAGGGGTGACATGAACATATCTATAGGTACAGTAACAGACTGAAGGAAAAAATGTGGGATCCCAACTGATGTCAAGGGAAATCGGTAATTTTTTTTTAAGAAATCAACAAGTGACACAAAGAGGGATGAGAGAGGGGGAGGAAAGGATTCTAAAAATATTTAGGATTCTAAAGATATTTAGGAATTAAAATGGATAAAAAGTGTATTATACTGCAGTAACACCCTCCTTTTGTAGCAGACTAGAACGTCTTCAAGTTAAGAAACAGATCTTATTCATTTGGTGTACATGGGTGCACAAGAAATAAAACTCAACAAATATTTGCTGACTCTAAAAATCATAGCCCCTGCAGAAAAAATATTCCATAGGTAGAACAGAAATATGAAGTTGCTAAATTAATAGATTTATACTCCAGGTCCTAAAACTGGATAATTAGCCTTTATTTACAAGGGAGACCAATACGGAAAATAAAGATATTTTAGAGATTCTGCATGTCCCTCAGTCAGCAACACTGCCCACTCATCATGATTGGGGTAGGCAGAAAAACAGTCCTCAGAGATGTCTACTGCCTAGTTCCCAGAACGTGTGAATATACTCCTTATGCATAGCAAAAGGAAGTTTGCAGATGTGATTAAAATAAGAATCTGGAGATGAGACAATTATCCAGTATCCCTGAATACTAAATTATCCAGATGGGCCCAATGTAATTACAAGGTAGGAGGAAGGTAAGAGGGTCAAATGCAGAAGAAGGAAATGTGACCACAGAACCAAAGGCTGGAATGATGTGGGTTTTAAAATGGAGGAAGGGATCATGAGCCAAGAAATGAAGCAGGTCTCTAACAAGCTACAAAAGGTAAGGAACAGATTCTCCCCTATACCTTCCAGGAGGGACCAGCCTTGCCATCACCTTATATTAGGACTTCTGACCTCTAAAACTACAAGATAATAAAGCCATTACGTCTTTGGTAATTTGTTAAAGAAGCAATAGGACACTAATACAGAGACCATCAGGATAACGAAAAAGTCTATGGTTTTTCAAAGATATACAGTAGTCCTGAATCCTGATTTGTCAGAGCTACAAGCAAATCCTTAAGATAGGTTTAGGTCTTAAGGGCTAGCAAAAGTTCTATTCACAGGTCATCACTGTAGACAAAAGAAAAGAACAAAGTTGAAAGACTCAAACGTCTCAACTTCAAAACTCGCTACAAAGCTACAGTAATCAAAAGTACAGTGTGGCACTAGCATAAGGACAGACACAGACCAATGGAATCGAGTAGATAGCCCAGAAACAAACCCTTACATACATGGTCAATGGATTTTCGACAAGGGTGCCCAGACCACTCAATGGGGAAATAACAATCTTTTCAGCAATTGGTGCTGGGAAAAATGGGTATCCAGGCAAAAGAATAAAGTTGGACCCTT